ATATTTTCAGTTGATCAGCTCCTGTAAAGGGTGAACGTGGTGATCTATGAAATGCCATTACAAGCCCACAGGACATTCTGGAAGTCTCACTTTATTTTGCAGTTTCCCAGGTGATGCCAAAGAAATGGGTCAAAATGGACAGAGGTCACTAGCCTGAGACCCTCACTTTTCCTGGAGTATTATGGGACACATCACATGTCTCACTGCTCTGCCCTCAAACTATTTAGTGGTTTTTATAAGCTAGGCAGAAGAACAAAGCAATAGTGAGATTTTTCTTCTTCATATCAAGTTTAATCTGTCTCATAAACTCTCCAAAACACAACATTTTGCACCAACTAGAACAAAATTGAGCCACTTGGTTTCTCTGTGCCTCTTGACAAAGCTGTTCCATGTGACCAAGATAGGAAAAAGAATCTCACACCTACATTTCTGCCTCATTTCACACAAGAACCTGGATTGCTGTAGGTTATCTGATACAAGACAAATGCAGTGCTGTGAAGAATCATGCTTTTATTTTCTTCTCAAGGTTGTTCACATTTAAAATGAACACATATGCCACATGCCAGTAGCTATTCCTTTTCAACGTAAATCAAGTTTGCAGAAACAAATTAGAGTTGCAATGATTCCTCTAAAAAAAAAAAAAGTACAAAGTGCTTTGCTACTGGATAAACTCATTCACCACTGAGGAAAAGACTGATTCTCAATAATGTGATTTAGGCTGCAAGGTATCCCTGAAGATGGCAGTGGTACAAAGTACAGTTGGAGACATGTCACTAGTGGTGTACTCTAGGGGTCAATACTGGGGCTAACACTGTTTAACATCTTCATTAATGACCTGGAGGATGGGGCAGAGTGCACCCTCAGCAAGTTTACAGAAAATAGAAAACTGGGAGGAATGGCTGATACACCAGATGGTTGTGCTGCCATTCAGAGGAACCTGGACAGGCTGGAGAAATGGTGCCAGCAGCAACCTCATGAAGTTCAAAGGGAAGTGCAAAGTCCTGAACCTGGTCAGGAATTATCCCATGCATCACTACACGCTGGGGGGCTCAGGGAGACCCCACTGGCTCAGGGGCCTGATCAGCTAGAAAGCAGCTTTGCCAGAAAGGATCCTGGGGTCCTGGTGGACAAGAAGTTGAACATGAGCCACTAACGTACTCTTGCAGGAAAAACGGCCAACAGCCTCCTGGGTTTTATTAGGAAAAGCACTTCCAGCAGGTCTAGGGAGGTCATCCTTCCTCCCTACTCAGCACTTGTGTACTGGAATACCACGTCCAGTACTGGGACCGGACTGGGCTTCCCACTACAAAAAAGATACGGACTTACTGAAGCAAGGCTAGCACAGGGTCATGAAGATGATTATGGAGTACCTTTATATGAGGAGAATTTGAGAGGAGATGGGACTGACCAGCTTGGAGAAGAGATGTCTCTGGCTCAGGTTAAGACGGCTCTTATCAATGTGTATAAACACCTGATGGGAGGGAACAAAGAAGAGGGAGCCAGACCCTTCCGAGTAGTGTCTACCAACAGGACATGAGACAACAGCCACAATTTAAAACCCATGTGACTCCATCCGAACACAAGAAAACAGGACATTTTTTACTATGATGGAGGTCAAACACCAGAACAGGTTGGCCAGAGAGGTTCTGGAGTCTCCATCTGCAGGCATATTTGAAACACAACTGGACACAGTCTCAGACAACCTGCTTTAGCTGACCCTGCTTGAGCTGGGGCCTTGGACTAGATGACCTCAAGAGGTCCTTTCCAACCTAAACAATTCTGTGGTTCAGTGAAGATGATATAAGAAGTTTGAGAATCTATGCTGATAAATAAGGTACTAAGCTAGGAAGGCACTTGTGTTTAGTCCCCTGCTCTGAGACAGACTTCTTTTTCATAAGCCAAAGCATTAATTTTAGTTACTAGAATCTGCCTAACTCAGATCCTGGAAGGACAAGCATACAAACAATTGAAAGAAAAGCTCTTTCCATTACTTAGTATAAACTACATGAGGCATTCTTTCTCTTCTTCCTCTAAAGTGGCTGGTTAGCCACCTTCTGAAATAGGATACAGACCCAGTTGGACTGCAAGGTTATTTCTTTATGGCACTTCTTATTTAAATGTGTGCATTTACTGTTGAGGAGAATAAAGAAAGGACAAGACATAAGACTTTGTTTATGTATGTTTTCCATTACATTGCAGCCTAATTTATTCAGGTGAAAAAAACCAGTCACACTACCGAGAGAAGAATAGGGAGAAGATGAGACAGATGGCAGAGTTTGCTGCTGTATATGTAACTCCAATTACTTATTACCAGAATGTGTAAGTTTTGTACATGGTAAGCTTTAATGGGAACAGAGTAGTGGGCATCATTCCTAAAACAGCTAACATGCATATTACTGCAACTGATATTTACATTTTAAAATCAGACTAAGAGGTAAGTGCACAAAAACTTATTAAAGAAATCATAAAAGGTTGTAGAAGTACCAGAAAGAAAAGCCATTAAATAATGAAGCGCTTCTTGGGACACTGGCTTGTTCTACTACATGTGTGCTTTGATTGTCTGCACCCGGGAAGTGCATTAATGGCCCATTAGGAAAAGGCACTGGAACTTGGGAGCTATCTAACAGACTGCATCCCATACCTACACCCAAAATATCTAGAAATGGCCCAAGTCTGGCTTTTTCCCTGGTTGAAATATACACATTCCAGGTTTTTAACAGCATCATAATGCTCCAGGCAGTCCATTTTTCAGAAAGGTTTGTATTTCTCAAGTGATTAAAATCACTCTGCTTTTGGCTGTCTCTGACACCATCACAAAGGTGCGTTGCAATATAATCTAGAAATGCACTGCCTATGGTGCCTCATCAATGAATTAACAGAGCATCTGTGGGTCAGGGTCAGCCTTTTAATTGAAATGGAAAGGTTAAGAAAGCCTGGGGCTGCAGACTGAGGCAGAAAATGTGAAATTACAGCACTAATATAGTTTTTATAAAGTAGCAACATGTAGCAACAGGATGAGGGGTAATGGGTTTAAACTGGAAGAGGGCAGATTTAGACTAGATATTATGCCCCATCCCTGGAGGTGTTCAAGGCCAGGCTGGATGAGGCTTTGAGCAACCTGGTCTAGTGGTAGGTGTCCCTGCCCATGGCAGGGGGGTTGGAACTAGATGATCTCTAAGGTCCCTTCCAACCCAAACCATTCTATGATTCATTCTATAAAGTAACTTTTTTTTTTTATTTACAAGATCAACATAGGAACAGCTGTAAATTGGGGTCATCTGGTTTTGCTGTGATGCTCAGAATGCTCAGCATGGATTAGAAAAACTAAACTTAGGATAAATTGCAGAAAAGATCAATCAGAGCCCTTCTCCTAGAGGAACTGCATGAAGGAAATGGACTTTCCCATGTGCTACCTATCACTGAGATGTTGGCACTGTTAAAGACAACACTGCAGTTGAACAGAGAATACACTTTTCGGAGACAAAGCTAAGTGCAGAAGCTACATGAGGAAGTAGCCCCCAGATTGGGAGATTCCAGAACAAAGTACCAAGAATTCCATTGCCACTGTCCATACCACCCTCACAACTAACCCCAGACGTTCCTACTCTAGTGTGGATGCTTTTGTGAATGGTGGACAAATACATCCATAGTCAGGCTGAGAGAACTGGCAACACGGACACCCCATTTCCAAGTGACCAAAAACAAAGATGTGCCACCGCTGCACATGTTAATGGAAAACCTATCCTTCCTCAGACCCATCCCTGGTCCCAGGAGCTCCACATCCACTACACAACTTGCAAGAAGAACAGACAAAGTCTATGCCAGAGTCCAGACTAAAGATTAAAAACATGTCTGTGCTCAGAATATCCAGCTATGTTCCTCTCTCTGCCTAAAGAGTAAGACAAACTGAGAGCAATAACCAAAGCTTTTGTTTTATAACAGGAGACCACTATCAGTAACACAGGTACAAATCAATATCCACACACATCTGTGTCAGCTACACATCACTACCAGAAAAAACAAGTAGCAGATTAGATCATTCTCATACAGCATTCATAGCTTTTCAATGGAAAGATTCAAAAGTCATACCTTCATTACCCACTGTGATAACCTAATGCTTAGCCTTGTTAAGCTTTTAGTTATTCTGTACCATGGGAAAACACAGCAATACATGTAACTCTCCTGTCACAAAAAGCCCAAGACAACAACGAAGGCAGGCCTTGCAGATGTGTAGAATACACTCTCAAGAAATGCACAGGAAGATGGGAAGCCCAAGTAGCAAAGACTTGCTGCAGTAGTCCTTAAGGCCAAGAAGGCAACACTAAATTTGTAAAACATGGATGGGGACAGATGCAGCAGATGAATACAAATAGCATAAAAGTAAAGACACTAATTAGAGCACTGAGACTAGATGATACAGACTGTTTTCAGCCCTGCTGTTGATATGTTGCATGACTTCATGCTAGTCCACTGTTCTTCCATTTCCCTTCCCTTTGTCTACATCACCTGTGTATCTTGGAAGCTCATGAGATCAGAGTCTACCTCTGCCTGCATCACGACTAGCTCAGTAGGGTTCAAACTTTGACTACACCTTCTACAGGTAATACATCTACATTAGCCTACTGTAAATGTACTGAATATAAAAATAATAGGAGGCTTATGCAGACCAGAGGGAACAGGGGATGACACAGGAAAAAACTGAAGTAGAAATATAAACAGGAGTGATACGTTTTAAGATGAATACAAAATGAAGGCCAATGGAGAACTGGATGCTAAGATTTAAAAATAGGGTATCACCAATATCACTGGCAAATCTTCCAGTGACATCTCATTGCAGTTACTTATTTAATTAGCATATCACATTACCTTACATGCTTGACATTAAACTCAGATGAGTGTGAAAAGACACCATGGTAAATCAAATTAACTTGTATTAAACAACATAAAAATGAAACTTCTCAGTAAAGCATCATCAAAACACATACAAACAAGAAGTTTACCTCAGCTCCTAAACTGAGAGAGATTATTTCATCCTCAAAAGCAGAATGTGTATCAATATGAGGAGGAATTCCTGCATGAGAAAAAAACAAAAAAAGTCTGTATACTAACCATAAAGTGGTATCTCTGTTTGCAAGTTTCTATGCATGTCCATACAGAAAAGTGAGATGTACAGTTGAACAAACAAAACTTATAAAGGAGGGCATTGCCTTCCAAAGTAAGACAAGGTCAACTGTCTGATTTACATGCCCAGATTAGATGCACACAGTTAACACAAGTATCCTGTACCATCAGTGGAAATATCTAGAGAACAGTTCAGAGCACACAAAGGCCTCACTCATCCTCTGAAGACTCCAGCTGCTCTCCTTGCTGCAGAGAGCACCTGAAATCACTATGCCCTCTACTTAGGCAGTTTATCACTAACATTTATGCTATGTTACGTGACTTTGGGCTTTAGTTCATCCATGATCATGTACTTCTCCCTCACTCTCTTCACAGAGAATGAGCCACCCTCTGTTGCTAAGCAAATGACTGTGCTAAGGGTCTCAGCTTCAGAATTAGGACCTACTACCATGAACACAGGCACTGTCAGGGTCAAATCCTGCCTCCACTTTGCAGTTCCCAGGAGAACTCCACACACCATTGCTAGGCTAACCCCTGGGTAGTACATCCGTTGGTGTGTGTATGAGTAACCACACATGGTTGAGAACTGTCAAAAGGACAGCAATTTTTTTTTTTTTTTCAGATCTGCTAATAGGAAAGAAACTGTCATTCCCCACAGCTTGTGCCACACATTTTAACACCAAGTGCTGAAACAGCAGTGTGCATGCCAGAGCAAGACTTCACAGCATGGTAGGTAACTGTAGCCAGCAGCGGAGCAAGGCCAGCAGACAACTCAGGAGAACTTCACCTATGCCTTCATTTGACACCACATCAGGCCCAGACAGAGTAACTCCCATGTGATCCAAACAAAAACAGTTATATATGCTTATTAAAAACTCTACCTACATTAATTTCGGACACTACTGAATTTTTAAGCACTACCAGTCAGCCCTATAAAGCATCTTTATTATATGCCAGATTTTACCTCCAGATGTAAACATTCTGAATTCCATTAGTTGCAGTGAAAGCAACACAAGTGTTTTATGAGGCCAACATTTAATCTGATAGAAAATCAGTGAGACCTGAAAACCAAGGCCAGATATCTGCTTGTGTGTGCTCATAACTTTGCCTCAGTATAAAGCACTGAGGATCTGCCTTCAGACATGCGCTGAAGTCAGTCCAATTCACTGTGCAAGAGGGGAACATTGCTCTCTTCAGTCAGCTTCACCCACACAATTCAATCAAGACCACAATGACCTACCTACCTGCTGTTCCTACTCCATATATTCAGCACATAGTAAGAGACAGTCACCCAAGCATTCAAAAGTGGATGGTAACTTTCAAGTATAATTCTACAACTTTAAACATTATTAGGACTCTGAATTTAAAAAGTGCCCTCAAGAAGAAATTCATTTAATGCACCTTAAGGGTAGCCCCTACAGCTTTGACAGCCAAAGTCATCAGTCACTTTTTAAAATCTCAAACGTAATTTCCAGTGACAATCTGGCTCGGAACACAGATACTAAAGGTATTAATCTGTCTGCATTCTTGCTCATTCATATCCTGATAATTTGTACTTAAGAAAGTGTATTTTGCTTTGGGTTAGCTTTAAAAAAAAAAAAAACCAAAAAACCTGCTTCTATTTTTGATAGAAATCTACAATTCTAACTAATCTCCTCTGATGTTGCAGTCAGAAATACATGACTGTATCAATTTAACAGATTGTCAGATATATAAACCAATAGGATCAGCCTTTCAGATCCCTGTTTGGCAAACACTGTACTAGCTGCCAGACATTAACTCTGAAAGAAAAGCTGCTGTCCTTTCTTCCTAAGGACAAATAAGATATCCAGTCTAGAAAGGAAGCCAGATACTTAGCTTTGATGAATGACCTTAGCAAAAAGCACAGCACATGATTTATTCCCTAGAGGTGTGATTAGAAGCAAATGTCTCTTCAGATGTCTCCAGTTTGGGAAAGATTACAGAAACAGAGTAATTCCTTATTCCTCAGACAAGGGAACACTGCTTGTATCATACTTCTGAGTCCATATATCACATATACTAACAGCAAGAACCATTTCCTGGAGACTGTACGCACAGCACAGGGGGCAAGAAGAGTTTGCAGTGAAAAAAATGCACTTGAGCACAAAATCAAATATGACTATTTATTCCTACATCTTTTTATGTTTAGTTTCCATGTTACAGCCTTCGACTCTGAAACACCATCAATTTCCATAATGGTGGTATAAAAAAATGTACTTCTAAACACAAGCTTCCATGTTCAGAAAACAGTATGAAGACATTAGTTTTGATTTAAAGCATCTCTGGTCACTGAGGAAAAACACTAAGCAGGTGCTTAAATCCTGCCCCTACGCCGTGTCACATATAGATGCTGTTCTCTTCAGATTTTCAGTTAAGCTGCACTGGTTCGGCTGGGATAGAGTTAATTTTCTTCACAGTAGCTTATATGGGGCTATCTTTTGGATTTGTGATGAAAACAGTGTTGATAACACAGGGATGTTTTAGTTATTGATGAGCAGTGCTTACATAGAGTCAAGGCATTTTCTGTTTTTCACACCACCAGCAAGAAGGCTGGGTGTGCACAAGAAGTTGGGAGGGGACACAGGTGGGACAGCTGACCCCAACTGACCAAAGGGATATTCCACACCATACGACATTGTGCTCAGCAAGAAAACTAGAGGTGAAGTTACTGGAGACGCCATTGCTTAAGGACTGGCTGGGCATCAGTTGTCTGGTAGTGAGCAACTCTTTGAGGGTTTCGGGGTTTTTTGGTTTCATTTGTTTTTTGGGGGTTTTTTTTGCATCACTAGTTTTTCTTTGGTTTGCTTTTAACTTTCTTTTCTCTGCCCCCCAACTTTAAACTTATGAAACTGTCTTGATCTCAATTCATTTGTTTTCTCACTTTTTTCCTTCCAGTTCTCTCCCCTGTCTCAACGACAGTAAGTGAGCGAGTGGCTGTGTGGTGCTTAGTTGCCTACCAGGGTTAAACCACAATATAAAGAGCTCAAATTTTTTGAAGGACAAATAAACTTACCTTGCCCAGGTTCATACTGATTTACAGTCAGTTGATCAGGTTTATGTTTGATATATCCCTGCTTCAACAACTTTTCCAAGAATAGGTCACAAATTTCAGGAAGACCTAGTTATAGAAACAAAACTTGAAGCAAGATATGATAGCTTTACAGATTTTCATCCTTTCTTTTTACAATAAATACAATAACTGGTCAAAATACACAGAAACAGCTTCAGAGATATGTTAAGTCCATCTTTAATAACAATCACTCTACGTTTGCTGTAACACACACACACACATCAGAATTGTGACCCTGATCTGCAAGTCTGATATATTTATAACATCTCACAATCTGAAAGGCCACTCCTCCAAGGCCCCCACATTCAGAATCAGATCAGGCCTACTCCTCACAAAAGGAAACTGCATATCTCTGCACATAAATAAAAGCATACCAAATCAGAGGCAAAGTTTCCACCAATTACAGTAAAAAAGTTTTAGTCAAGAAGCAAAAGTATTTTACAGAAAGTCAAAAGCCATGCAGAGAGCTCTCAAAAATTTACGCCCTAAAATTCTGTTACTGAATTAGATTAAGTATCACCAAAAAGTCAAACTGGTTTCAAAACAGGAATGAAAGGTACAGTCCTTCACTGAAATCTCTGGGTTGCTATTTTACCTGATGACTTCATTGTAAAATTCTGTTGGAAGTAAAATCCATAAATATGTTAGTAACAGCCCTTTTATGAATCTACTGATTTTTATTTTGTAATTGTTCTCCCCCAATGAACTGTTTATACTTTTCTCACACATAAAATATTCTTGCTGTGAGACTAGAAAACAGCCCAAATATCAATGCTTTTGTGATTATATAACTCACTGTTAAAACTGCAATGTAACCAGAATCCTTCTGTTGGAAGCCACATCGACCCCAATAGACATGCAACACCTTAAACACCTTCAAGTTTTATAGGAATTTAACTCCCCTATTTTACTATTTTTAAATCTAAGACTATAAGATGACTCATTCGCTTTGCTCTGACTCACAGCTCTCAACTCCGAATAAGAGTTATTCAAACCTTTCCAAAACTGCTTTCAGTCCAAAGGAAATCTTATTTTGGTGTACATCCAGCAAGCTTCAAGCTAGTCAAGATAAACATACACAGCAACATACGTCACAACTCTCAGTGAGGCTTAAAGACTTTATATAATGGTTCAAACATCAGTGCAAAATAAGTATGATTTAATAGGGAAGTTCTCACCTCCTGGTAAAGGTTTGTCTTTATCAACATTGTTGTTATCATAGCAAAACTCGTATCCAAAATGTTTAACTCTTCTATGTTTTAAAGTCTTCTGGGCTGTAAAAACACAGACTTTTAAAGATTACACCACATAAAACAGTATAGGCAATTTGCTATGCTTCCCTATTCCATCTGACCTAAACATTCTAATTAACTAATTGAACATTCTTTAATTAACAATTGAAACAACATATGTGACCCTTGTGTTTCATGACACACCCTTTTTCTGCCTTATTACCTTCTGTATTTGCATCAAGCATCCCATTCACTATTGTCTGAAGTCAAACTGAGGGTGGTTTTGTACATGGAAGAAGTAGAGAGCACCAGTCTTCTTGAGCCATGTTTCATACATTTTTATCCTTGGCCTGATCTCTGAAGCTGTACTTGATTAATATCCTATGGATACAGCAGGATCCTCCACTTTCATCAATCACCAAGTAACATGTTAGCTAAGGTCAATACAACCCTTTCTGTTGTTCCAAGGAACAAAATTTATACAGAAACCTTGAAGAGAATTCCAAGAACAATTCATTTATTGAAAGATTTAACTCCACAGAGCTCAAGTGAAAGCACAAAAGCATCCAGAACGTGCGCCCCACTGACTTCTCTTGGATTTAAAAGAAGACACAGCTCTACAGATGGACATCAAATTACAAGGGTAACCTTCACAAAACAGTCTTGAGCTTGGCGTAAGACACCCAAAAAAGACTTCAGCTGTTTCTGGCTGCAGGAACATTGTTCATGTAAATCCATACCAGAATATAAAATCAGACCACTTGCCCTGGGGGTTTATCACTTGCAATGTAAGACCCAATTTCTAAAATACTAAGAACAGATGCACAATGATTTGAAACAATACATTTACCAAGATGTACACTTTTTGTTAACTGAAACTGTAGGAAACAGCAGCATAGAAGTATGGAAAGTCTGCATTTCTATGGTTTTGCCCACCATTTTGAGTATTTTCATCTCTTATCCAGTCAACACTTTCCAACATCTTCCTTTCTTCCTCTGGAGAAATAACTTTTTCAATGACAATTAGGCCTGGAGGCAAGCTTGTAGGAACAGCATTCTGCCAGGAAACTAGGGTGTATGGAAAAAGAGAATATTGTCACTGTTTAGAGAAAACAAAACCATGTTTCCTCTATAGGGACATTTACTATGTATAGGAATACAGTATAGCTGTAGAAATATTTACTTTAATGATAAAATGGAGCGCTCATTTGGGTGGTATTTGGTGAATAAATAATCCCTTTTTGGCATGACAAAACAGGGTAAGGCTCAGATTTTGCGTCATGCAAAGCACTAAGTTTTACTGCACAAGACCAATAAGACTCCACACTATTCAAATGCAAAGCCACTTGTGATTTTCCTGTCCAAATAATGGTAAAAAGAAATTCCCAATCACTTCAGGATTCTACCTGCATTTCATTTTAATTCTCTAGAACTTTGCTGATCTACCAAATCACCAGATTATTCTGTCCAGAAAAGCAATCTGCAATCAAATAAGGAGGAGTATAATGCAATACCTAGGTGAACATGAAATGCTGGTGATGTAGGGACATTGTTTGCTATCCCAATAGCTTAAAAAAACTATTCACTGACAGAATGTAAAGACCAGCACCAGGAACCCTTTCATTAGACACTATAAAAGCCCATAGGAAGAGAGAGTTCTTGTCCTAAATGGTTTATAGTCAGCCATAAAAAAAAAAAAAAAAAAAAGCCTGGAGAGAAGGGAGAAAAAGGGGGAAAAAAAAAAAGCACCACTAGAAATCTTATTATGCCTATTTTCCATCTTGGAGTTGAAATAGAGATCAGAAGACCAAGATCACACAAAAAAATCCAATGAACTGTCCCAAGATCTCCTGGATCCCAATTTAGCTTCTTCATCACAAGACCTTCAAGTGCAGTACTGAATGGTCTGGAAACTACCTAAAGTCCTTTCTCCTTTTGCCTCCAAGTGAAGGAGTTCAAATTAGAGTATCCTATCATGAAATACAAGAAGCAAATATTAATTTATGTCCTGAATCTTAGATTCTGGCTTTGACTCTCTGTGTCTACTCACAAACACCAGTGTCCTTTTAGCCATACTTACAATCTAGGGAGTGCAGGCAAAGGGAAGCAGTATGCAAGAAGCTGGATATATAGGAGAGCAGAAAAACTATACCTTTTTCCACAAAATTAATATATAGAACAATGCTTTGGTCAAAGTCTTCCAGTGTTACTTCTTTTCCATTAAGGGCATCAAAGGCTTTCTTGGCTTCTTCTGTTGTCCCATATTTCACAAATGAATATGGTTTGTTTGGTGGCATTAACAGTGTTTCCACTAATCCATATTCTTCCACTATCCTAAGCAGTTGGTGTCTACTCATCCCATTACCAAGACCACCATTGGCAATAACCAGGCTCTAATTGAAGAGGAATTCAAAAAAAAAAAAAGAAAAATTAGTGATTACTGTTGGTTCATTTAAAACTAGCACTCTACCAAGAGAGAAGCTTTATAAAGAAAAATTAAGCCCATAAGTACTCTTTTATGTATTCCAGACAGGATATTTACATTTCAGTGAGCTTGGTATATGAGGCTAAGGCAACCTTTGTTTGCCCAGCACATATTCTGGCAGAAAGGCCTGCGACCTCTAACAGAGACACCTCCTCAATCAACGCATATAGTTACAAGAGCATTTGAGCTTCCAACTGGTATGTGTGCATCAAGTTACCACTAATGAAAACAAATAAAAAACTCTGGAAACTGTGATTCTTTTTTTTTAAGAAAGGTTTTCTCATCTTTGCCAAGAAGTCTCCCCAAGCATAGAGAGACTGATATTCCCAGTCCCACCTCATGTCCCTCATATCTCAGGCTCACCCAAAAAAGCAGCAGCCTCTAAAAACAGAGCATCTAGTTCTGCTCCACCACTCTTATCTGAAAATTCTCCCTCTTGTTTCTATAAACAAAAGTGATTTATGTCCCATCCTTAGTTAACACAGAATGCTTAATGCACCATGCCTAGTTGCTTAATTCTACACTTTCATAGAGATTTATGTCCAAAATTGTCAAGGAGTATGCAGTTTGTGAGGGCTGTTGCTGGCCTGCCAAATATTAGAAGAAACAACAAAACAGAACATTTCAAAGGACTATTATTCAAGAAATAGCTTTTGAAAATACATCAGCCTTTTCAAAATAAATTAACAAGTTATTTTGACATCTAAATAGCTATATGCCATAACTGGATGTTCAATCTAATCATGGTGGTTAAAAGAAGTTTAAGTCCCTTTTTAAGGCCAAATGAGAATGCAGTCCTGAAGTTTTGATTGGGCTACAGTGACTCCAAACAGCTAGCAACAATTTACTCAGATTGACTCCAGGTAATACCTTTCCAGAAAGCTTTCACACAATCTTTTCCTTAAAGTCTCTAAATGTTCTATGACCTTTTCTGAAGGCAGCTGGTAAAGTGTTCAATTGTTTCAAATGATAGCATTTCACTTCTCTAAAAGACAGAAAATTAGATTTAAAACTGAAGAAAAGGTTTATAGAAAAAAAATTATATAGTGAGCACACCTGAGGTACTGCTGTGATTATGCCTATTGTGATGGCTCTGTTAACACTTGTTCTTAGCACTGCATCAGGCTGTCTATTACTGATCACATTTTTCAAAGGTGACCACATTATTAACTATTGCTATTTTGCAGAATGTTATTAATGGGGAGGCCCATGTGTGCGGAGACTCAAACCAGTACTTTCACTGGCTGTAGGCACTTCATCTACAAAGACCATCACTACACAACAGCAGCATGGGCAGCAACTGATCATGTTTTCTCCTGATTGAGCAATTTCAATATAATCAGACTTGCACAAACCCTGAAAGCATTTTCTGTATTCTTGACACAAGTTTATCACTAGCACTATGATTTTGTTTCATACATCACTTAGGAAAGTGTTCTTCCATTGATGAGGACCTTGCTGGACCCAAAAATTACTCTGAGTAGATTTGATTGATAATTTGACATCTGGGGCACTGTCAAGGGGAACAAGTCCCAGATTACAGACCCATTTCCAAGCAACACTAGAAAAACACAGTCCCTGCTCCAAAGAGCTTATAATTTACACAAGAACGCTGGGTCATTTTAGCATATGCCCATGTGTTGTGAAATCTGAGTGAAGACCAAGACAAGTTTTGTTACAAAAAAAGTATAAAGATCTAACTGACATTTCCCTAATTGAATAGGAAGAATTTGCAGGATCAAGATGAACAAGGCTAAAGTAAATGATACTGGTCTACAGTGTTTCAAGCCATTAGCATCTTCCCACAACTGATGGAAGGAAATTATAAACTCTAAATTCTTCCCTTTATGCTGCAAGTTCCTGTCACTTACTTTTTGTTACACCAGTCTCTGTGAGGTCACCCTCTAATCTGCTGTAACTCCCCACTGTGTCAGAAAACTACAGGTCAAAAAGCTAAGTAGTCTTCTGTAAGGTTAGGAAATAAAGTGGCTTATGGTAAAGTTCATTGAGCATCATAAGAAAAGCTAATTCCCTCCTATCTTGTCCCCTTTTGTGCAAGAGAAGAGAAAGTTGTCCCCCTTTCAACAACTGCAAGTCAGTCAACCAGTTAAGCTCCCACAGAACCACAGCCTAAATCAATTTAGGTGAAGAAAACAATGTGGAAAGGATTTCTTACGACATTTCTTTAATAGGGAGTTGAAACGAGATAAATCACACTTGATAGAAAAGTATAGATGAAAGAACAATACAAAAGCTAAAAGCTTGAGAAGAAAAGAAATCACGCAGAGAAAGAGAAGTTTATCTACTTCAACAAGGTACCATTTTCCACGCTTCCTCCTCCTCCTTCACCCAAGAAACTACTGTTTCAGATTAAAAAAATAACTTATCCAAAGGCCATCAAAATCCCTCCACAGACAGCTGATAAGAACAGTTCTGCTTTGAAAGCAAAGAGGCCCGTAAAACCCTCAGTCTCAGGAAGTGCATTTTGGAGGAGAACTGCATTTTAGACAAAGCATATGTCAGAATCTTACACAGATAAGCATGTGTAATACCAACAAAATCAGAACTGCCAGTCACCTGTGTGGCATGGGAGATGCACTCAATGCCTTCATGTCTCATCAATGTATGCTGAGCTCTGACCTGCTTCCTCAATACCTTCTTCTTCATTTTATGGACTTTCAAATGATCTTTGCTGGTTTTAACTTCCATGCTGGTGATCTGGGAAGCAGACGTAACAACACACAGTAAGTGTCCTGCTTGAAAAATTAAATACTTCAGTCTCATACGTCATCTCTAGGACAGTAATAGGACTTCTGACAATTCCAGATATTATTAATTATTTGGGGCTGACAAAACTAAGTCTGCAAAGTAAGTTCTTCGTCAGTCAACAGCATCATTTCCCCCACGTCTAAAGTTTTGTTATTAAACTCTCTTTTATTAAGAGGATCCCGCCCAAAAATGAAGCTTTATAAAGACTGCCATGATGCTAGATTTCATTTTCCAGTTTTTCTCTTCACTCCTTTATTCACAATATCACTACATCTATTTGCAGCTTTTAACCTGCCTGCCCCTCCTGTTTTCACATAGTAGTTTCACTTAATTTCCTTCCATCTAGTCCCTCCAGAGCAGAACAAGAGAAAAAATGTATGTGGAGCTGCCATAAGATCTGTATCCTCCTAGCTTCTAAGTTATTCTTGCCCCACCAAATGCCTGAGTTGGAGATGAACTGTTCCCATTTGTCTCCTTTTTCCTAATTGTCACTTTCAAGTGAACACAACATTTGGCAAAAACTGCTTTTTTTTGAGAGTAGAAAAATTTGTTCAAGGCTTCAGTGTCCAAGAACTAGCAACAAGAATGCTCCACACCTTGTTTAGCACATCTCCCAAGGCCACACTTCACGCAAATCACACTCCTCTTATGAGAAGGAACAGAAAACTATGTAAATATATAAACCATTGAATTTGGTAGCAACACAACATTTAGCTACCGGTGAGTTATTTAAGGGTCACTAGCCTTCTCCAGGTTTTGTTGCATCTTTCGCCACATCTGGTCTACCACTATACTGAGATCATACAGTACATTCCAACATCCCCCTGAGTCTACTTTCTTCTCCTTTCTCCCTTCCCACTTCCTTCAATCCAAGGGAAGCGTCCAGACCTCACTTAAAACTATGACAAAGTTCCTAGACATTGATGTGGCTAGACTTTGCCTTTCTCTTTTTCTCTCCATATGGCATAATCCTGTATCTATATTTTAGGGTGTTCTTCTCTTCTTTCCCAAAAATCCTCCTAACAGAACAGGAGGACAATCCAACTGCAGTTTTCTGTCCTTTTCCATTCTGTTATTAACATTGATCTGATAACAATCCTTCCAACTCCTCTTCACCTGAAAAACTGTTTCTGCTTCTATTTTTTCAAGAAAATAAATTAAAAACAACCATGCCAATCACCACTATATTTACTTATTTAAATGTGTCAATTGCTTCAACAGTTGGTCATCCAGTTGCTTACCTTCTGGCTTACAAGATTGCATAGCTGCTTCCCAATACCTAAACTACAGACACCATCATGATAATATTACGATGTACCACAGGAAAACTGTAAAAGTAAAAAAATAAAAAAATTAATATTAGTATTTGATGCAACTTTTTATTGAATGACTTAGCAAATATTTTCTTTCAAACAAATGCAAATATGGAAGTAAAATTGTTACAAAAATATTAAAGAGTCACATAGGAGCTGTAAGTAAGTACTCTCTGTAACTGCTGCAGCACTACCATCATCAACTGAAAGAGAAAAATCTTTAAAGGGAATCTGAATGACAAAAGCACCCAGTGGAAACAACATGTTCTAATCCTCCAAAAAGGAGCAGAATAAATGCTGCCAAAGAAGACTCAGTCTTTTGCCACTCCATACCATTTGTTGATTCTTCCTCCTACCCTCGCTCTTCCACTCCCAAACCTGATTTTACACCCATCTCAAATGAATTAAAACACTTGTCAAAGAAAATGAATCACCAACAACAATTTCAAGCAAACCTAGCAAGTTACTGGCATGGTAGGCTCCAACAACTCTATCCTGAAATGGTTTCACATGCCTGCTACCAAGTTTGAGATGGCGCTCACATGGCCATAACAGCTTGAATCCTGACCTCCTGGGAACAATTATTCATTATTCAATTTTTTTACACATATCCTGACTACATAAAGATCACATTTCACATTTACATCTAAGACTGACAAAAAAAAATAATAAATTATGCAGCACCAAGATCCATCCTACCACTGCTAGATTCTTGCCAGTTCTTAGGGTCTCCTTCTCCAAGCTAATTAAAGCACAACCATGCTAAGATACAATGGAGGCAAAATATATGCAAAGGAAAACTCACTAGTGACAAAACTCTAACAGGGCACAGTTTCAGAAAAAGGAGGAGACTACCGAAATAATTATTTCTTGTGACTTCAGAAACATAAAGCACAGAGGCTGAAAAAAAACAGTTGATTATAGAGGCAATCTTCCTTTCTGTAAAACAATTCTTATTACAGAGCAACAGTGCTGGCTAAGGTCTTTCTGCATATTTTTTACTCTCATTTTCTACCTTCCCTTCCTGAATTTCTTGACATTTTCTTAAATAATCATTTTTCCTTCCTGGTGGAAGACCTGCACAGTCTGCAGTTCATTCTTTCACAAAACCACACTTGGTTCTAAAGCCTTGCTTCAAAATTGTTTTCTTATTGAGGATTCTTCACTTTATCTCCAACTAGAGTTAAATATACAGAGAGCACTGGTCCCCTTAACATTCATTGGTTAAATAATCATCAAGAAATCTCAAACTTGCTTAGACAAAAAAAGCACAGTGAGACACAAAAAACCCAACAAAAGATAAATGCAAGTAGAAGTACCTGAGAGGGAAGGGGAAAAGAAAAAAAAGAAAAAAAAAAAAAGTCTAATGAAAAGAGGTATGAAAAGTTTACATCAAGTCCATTTCCCTAAGTGCATTTGATGGGTTATCCTTACCAGGATTAATCTGATTTGCAGGCTTATTCAGCAAGCTTACTATGACCAAGCTGTTCAATTAACGGATTTGGTCCAAAAGGCTTGGCCTGCCCAACTTTATTTGCCATACACAGGTGAAGAGAGGCCAATAGCTTTACAGACTGCCCACGTCAGGGGAGTGGGAGGGAGTAGGGGGGACAAGCAGTCTCAAACCACTTCACAGAAAAGTATACGAGAGAGACATGTCTTATTTGGTGAGGTGGAGTTACAGAAAGAGTAAAAATATGGGATGGGTTTACTCTTTGGAACCATGCAAATCTCATTCAGAAGAAAAAACATAAAGGCTATATACATCACCCATGACAGTCAGACCACTATCATGCAGCCTCTGAAAGACAGACCCAGTGAGAAAGATATCAAACCGAAAGGCTCAGGCCTCTCCCATAACATCGACACCTCTGCACACTGGAAGACTATCTGACCTCAGGGGAAAGCAGCTCTGGGTTTAGTCAGGTCCTCTTAAACTCCCACATTCTCCAGGCAAAAGCCAAGAAATCATGGCCCAATATTTGGCAAACTAGCACAGAAACTGAAGCTGGAAGACTACTTTCCATCCTTTCATAACCTCTAAATTCAACAACAGAGCAAGGGACAGATGAGATGTGACTCAGCTGCCTAAACAATGGCATTTAAAACTAGCAGAGGTACCCTACCCCACACTGCCTGGCCTTTCATTTGCAGCTCAAGAAGCTGAAGACCTTCCCCATGTGCTGTGTCATGCTTGCCAACACCACCTAGATGCCTCTTGTCCCTGAGGGTATCTCAAAGAGCATTACCTGCATTGCCGAGACAGCAGAACCTTGTCTGAACTGGGCCTAAACTCTGCCTTGTCTGTTGCACCATTACACCCGAGGCTCAACTCTGCAGCTCTGCAGGCATGTAAACCAACAGACCGCCTTGCTTTCCGACTTAAGCAATCACACTCAACTGTACAGAAGTGGAAAACTTTACCTGGTAGCATCTCACACCCCCCTTACAAAGGTCAATGGGACTACAGAAAAAAGCACACAGCAGTGGTTTATTCCTTCCTGTTATCACCTCCCTTCACCAGTATTAAAAAAAAAGTACCTCCTGAAAATACACTGAAACAGTCTCCCCTTGCAATGACAGCTCAGGTTATAGCAGGTCACCCAACTGGCCTGAAATTACTACAAAAGTTAATGTAGAGCTTTAACGTAATGGGGGAACCTTATCCGCCGCTGTAGAAGCCACTTCTGAAAATTAAAGTCATGGAGTGGAGCTAAACGGCAGCTGTCAGCAGAGGGAGCACCGTGCTCAGTTATGAAGTTTGACAGTTTTATTATTCAGTTTTAGCTTGGTTTTGTGCCGCAGACACGTAAACATAAATGCATGCAGATGCTGCATACACCTACACATCAAACTCGTGGAAAAAAATTAAATTCAGGAACCCTGATGGGGAGGTTTAAGAGTCTCAGCACTGGCCAAACGCGCCTGAAGGCGCCAGCGCATCCCTGCGGCTGTCCCCGCTCCATCCCCGCCAGAGACAGCCGGGCTTCAGCCTCCCTCCGGCACCCCAGTCATGGGTTCTGGGCACTCGTTCTGAATAATAGTGACAACAGGAGTAACA